GAGGGAGGGAGGGAGGGAGGGAGGGAGGAAGGAAGAAAGAAAGAAAGAAAGAAAGAAAGAAAGAAAGAAAGAAAGAAAGAAAGAAAGAAAGAGGCCCAGGAGGAGACTGGTTTCCCCTCGTGGTTCCACGTTTCCGCCAGCTGGATCCAGAAGGCAGCGGGTGAACCTTGCTTGGGGCGACAGAATACCTGGAGCTGGCCCTGGCTATGTACCTGCAAAATTGGAGATGTTAAGTCACTTCCCAACCCAGCTGTACAGGGTGATCTGCACAAAGAACAGGTTGGCCAAAAGCGGCCACTGGAAACAGGTCCCCCCCCCCCCCCGCGAAATGTAAGGTTTTGCAAACTCAGAAGATCCAAAGGCTTAGAAGTCAGTCCCTTGGGGTGGTGGTTACGGGCCTCTTCTGGGAAAAGCCCTTGTCCGTCAGCAGGTCTGGCGCAGACTTGAGATTACCGCGAAGGTGTTTATATGAAGCATGACAGCGAAACCTGCGGCCTTCCCTTTCATCTGGGGAGGGGGACGTTCTAATCTGTCCCCTGGGACTGGTGCCAGGGTGGCCGGTGCTATTCTGGGAGCCCTTTTTTAAAAGGAGACCAATGACTTTCCCACCCTTTCCCCCACCCCCTGGGTGGATCAGTTTTCCCTCCCAACGTCTCACTGAGGATGGAAAGAGCTGAATCAAGGTTTGGCCCTGAGTACATGTGGACAGCCCTCCAGTCGGGGATGCCAGCCTCCAGGTGGGACCTGGGGATCCTCCAGGAGTACAGCTCAGCTCCAGACTACAGGGGTCAGCTCCCCTGGAGAAAAGGGATGCTTTGGAGGGTGGACTCCACTGTACTTCACTGAGGTCCCTGCCTTTCCCAGGCTCCATTCCGAAACCTCCAGGAGTTTCCAGCCTGGAGCTGGCAACCCCCACACCCCCTGCTGGGGGCCGGGGAGCCCTGGACGCCCTCCCTCCCACTGCTGGGTTTCTCCAGAGCTGCTGGCACCGGCGGCAGGGCTGTCTTTGCCACGGGGAAACCACTGGGACGAGGCTCTGTCATTCCCACGAACTTCCTTCCCCAGGACTAGGGATGCCAGCCTCCAGGTGGGACCTGAGGATCCCCAGGGGCTATTTTCAAGGGGGGTCTCCCCATCGCTTCCCTCTCGGAGGGCCGAGCCAGGCGATTGTCCCGGCCAGTGCGCCAACTTCCTTCTGCTGCTCACCTCTCCTTGTCTCTTCTTTGTGCAGGTGGTCAAGGTGTACAGTGAAGATGGCACCTGCCGCTCCCTGGAGGTCACAGCAGGTACCACGGCACGCCACGTCTGCGAGATGCTGGTACAGAAGACCCACGCGTTGCACGATGACTGTTGGTCTCTAGTAGAGGTCTATCAGCACTTAGCTCTAGGTGAAGAGGGGAGAGGGGGGGTCCAAATGAGGCCAGGGGAGTGGGGGAGGGTATGACTGTCGGTGTGTTAGAGGGCAGCACCACAGAGTTAAGTCATGCATTCTTTTAAAATTTTGGATGCCCACCTTGCTCCTGAGCATCTCAAAGTCACCCAGGATCCCATGGATCATCTAACTCAGGGGTCCTCAACGTGGTGCCTTTGGGTGCTGTGGTGCCCGCCAACATCTTTCCTGGTGCCCTCCAAGTGCTTTCCCCAGCAGGGCTTCTGATTGGCTGTGCAGATTAGGGATGGGCATGAACAGCATTTCTGTGGTTCTGTTCATAGTCCATGGCTAAATCACAAACTGGAGCATGAACAGATATGAACCGGGAGGTTGGTTTGCGAACCGAACCAGTTCGTATAGGTTTGTGACCCTTGCTTTTGGCAGGGAGCAAAAAGCAGCAGTTTAAAGGGCTCAGAGTGGGGAGCAGAAAGCAGGGGTTTAAATGGCTCTGAGCGCTGAGGAGCTCCAACCTATTTAACCCACTGCTCTCTGCCAGTAGTGGGGAACAGAAAGCAGGGTTTCCCCTGCAAAAGTGGTGGGGAGCAGAAAGCAGGGATTTAAATGGCTCTGAGCCATTTACACCCGTGCTTTCTGCTCCCCATGAAAAACAGCTGAGCAGTGGGGAGCAGAAGCAGGGGTTCAGATGGCTCACAGCCAGTTAAACCTCTGCTTTTTGCTCTTCACAAACCGCCACAAACTGCATTCACATTTGTGGAAGTTTGTGGCGGCTCTTCAGTTCATGAAGAGTGCTTTGCAAACCACGAACCGGCCAAGATTTGTCCTGAACTTTCATTTGTGAGCCATTTCGTGCCCATCCCTAGTTCAGATTAAAAGCTTCATATGTTCATAAGTACGAAAATGAGCAGCGGCAGCTTTCAATGGAATGGAACTCAATAAGTTCCCATTAAGCCTCTAGTAAAGAGGACAGGATGGAGCTGCGGTGGCTCAAGTGGTTAAGACGCTGAACTGCAGGCTGTGGAAGGTCAGTAGTTCAGCAGTTTGAGACCCAGGGGTGCCGCATGACGGAGTGAGCTCCCGTCTCTAATTCTATCTCCTGCCAACCTAGCCGTTCGAAAGCAAGTAATTTCAAGTAGATAAATAGGGACCACTTCGGTGAGAAGGGAACAGCGTTCCATGCGCCTTGGTGTTTAGTCATGACCACGGAAACGTCTTCGGACAGCGCTGGCTCTTCGGCTTGGAAATGGAGATGAGCACTGCAACCCTAGAGTCGGACTCGATTGGCTTTCGAGCAAGGGAGACCTTTACCTTTAAAGAGGACAGGAGATCTCCCCCCCCCTCCAGGCAGTTGGCAAGCCTACTCCTTCATCAGTGTTCTGATCTCTGTAGTTGTGTCCGGAGCTATCCCCTAGATATAAAAATTGCCCTTGTGGGACAAGCTGACAAAGATCCGTCCAGAATTGTGTGTTTCGAAGGCTAACTCTCCCGTGGCGGCGCTTCAGATTGTAGGGGCAGGATCAGTTGATTGATTGCTCCTCTAGGCAAATAATAATAATAATCCTCCTACAGGGCTCTTTTTGTAGAAAAAGCCCAGCAGGAACTCATTAGCATAATAGGCCACACCCAACAGCAGGCATTCATTAGCATATTGGGCCACACCCCTGACAGCACAGCTCATTAGCACATTAGGCCGCACCCCCATGTTACCAGAAGTGTGGTCATCTAGCCACACCCACCTTTTGCTTCTTATTCTGTTTACCTTGTTTGTGGACAAAACCCAGGGCCTTTTTTTGTAGCAGGAACTCCTTTGCCTGTTAGGCCACACACCCCTAATGTAGCCAATCCTAGTAAGTTTCTGCTGTTGGGTGTGGCCTATTATGCTAATGAGTTCCTGCTGGGCGTGGCCAACTTGGGAGCCAGCCGTCCCTGCCCAAAAATAGCCTTGATCCTCCAAAGAGAAAGCTAGGGTGTCACGAAGAAGGTTCTCTACCTGCATGATTATTTTGTTTGGAGGAGCAGGTAATCACGTGGGCCCAACCTGCAGTCTGAAACAGTACAGCCCAGACGCAGGATGATCGGCTCTGGGTGGGGACGGGGCAATTGGCAGCCTGAGCCACCGAGACGCTTGCAGGAAACTCACAATGGAACAGCCTGGCTGCTACGGCTCGTCTCCGGCGTCCAGCACCCAAAGGTGGGAGGGGCCCTGGCTCCGTGGCAGAGCCTCTGCTTGGCATGCAGAAGGTCCCCGGTTCAATCCCCCGGCATCTCCAGTTAGAAGTACTAGAGAGAAGGTGATGCGAAAGACCTCTGCCTGAGACCCTGGAGAGCCGCTGCCAGTCTGAGTAGACAACACTGACCTTGGTGGACTGAGGGTCTGATTTGGTAGAGGGCAGTTTCATGTGTTCATGTGCCCATGTGACCTGGCCTTTGAATACAGGGCGCACATTTTCAGGGGCCCAGTTGCGACATGATGCAAAACTATGGCTTCACTGAGCAAACTCTGTCTAGTGTGATTGTCTGCATGCAAGCTTAAAATGCTTGTTTTTTATTTATTTGGAAAAGGTATTCGCTACCTTCGGTGTAGTGGTTTGGAGTGCAGACTCTAATCTGGGAGAACCGGGTTTGATTCCCCCACTCCTCCACATGCAGCTGCTGGAGTGGCCTTGGGTCAGTCACAAGTTCTCTCAGAGCTGTTCTCTCAAGGGCAGTCCTCGAAAGAGCTCTCTCAGCCCCACCGACCTCCCAGGGTGTCTGTTGTGGGGAGGGGAAGGGAAAGGTGATTGTAAGCCACTTCTTCGGGTAGTGAACGGCGGGGTATAAATGCAATATTTTCTTCTTCTTCTTCTTCACCTTCTCCTGCTCCGACCCATTTGGAGTGGATTCGCCGCTATAGTTATTTAGGGTCTCTCAAACTATGATCAGCAACCACAGTTTGAGATTGGTTTATTAACCGAAGCTATGCTGTAATCCCCTGCAGAATTACCGTGGCCTAGTCCCATTGATTTCAGTGGGTTTAGATGGGAGTAACTTGGCACAGGAGTGCACGGTTAGCCTTAATCAGGGCTATTTTTGGGCAGGAACGCACAGGAATGGAGTTCCGGCTGGCTCCCAAGTTGGCCACGCCCACCAGGAACTCATTAGCATAATAGGCCACACCCAACAGCAGGAACTCATTAGGATTGGCTACATTCGGGGTGTGTGGCCGAACATGCAAAGGAGTTCCTGCTACAAAAAAAGGCCCTGGGTTTTGACAACAAACAAGGTAAACAGAATAAGAAGCAAAAGGTGGGTGTGGCTGGATGACCACACTTCTGGTAACATGGGGGTGCGGCCTAATGAGCTGTGCTGTCAGGGGTGTGGCCTAATATGCTAATGAGTTTCTGGTGTTGGGTGTGGCCTGTTATGCTAATGAGTTCCTGCTGGGCTTTTTCTACAAAAAGAGCCCTGGTTAATGGTGGCCTCCCAGTGATGTACAAAGGCAGACATCGTGAGTGTTCCCCTGGTATTATTCTCTAGCAACATCTTCCATGGCTACCAAGCCAAGATGATGAAGCCACCATTCATCCAAGGCAAACCCAAGATCTGAATCATCGTGTTATGGTTTCACGTTATGTCTGGCTCCAACCAAACTCAAACCGGATGAGACAGAGGTCACAGGTCTTGGTCTTTCTTACCAAGGCAGATTTCCATTCAGGCCATGCCGGGAGCGTGGTTTAACTCTTCCGCTCCCACACAGTTTGACTAATCTAGACCAGTCCCTCTCCCCACACATTGATTAGCTCTTTAAAAGAGGGGGGGGGGGACCGCAGTTTTCCGTAAAGGGCTATAAGAGTGTGTAAGTGTGTGTGTGCACGTGTCTATAAATGGGCTGGACCCAGTCATTTTTTCTGTCTGGGAAAGAGACCACAGAGGGTCACTTTTGACCACCCAAGAAGAGGAAGAAGAAGAAGAAAAGGAGGAGATTGGATTTATACCCCGCTCTTCACTACCCAAAGGAGTCTCACAGCGGCTCACAATCTCCTTTCCCTTCCCCTCCCCATAACAGACACCCTGTGAGGTAGGCGGAGCTGAGAGAGCTCTGACAGAAACTGCTCTTTTTCAAGAACAGCTGTGCCAGAACTATGGCTTGCCCAAGGTCATCCAGCAGCTGCAAGTGGAGGAGTGGGGAATCCATCCCGGTTCTCCCAGATTAGAGTCCGCGCACTGAACCACGACACCAAAAGGCAACTAAAATGATTAAGGGGGATGGAAGAAGAGGAGACTGGATTTATACCTTGCTGCTCTTCATGACCCGAAGGAGCCTCAGGACGGCTTACAAACTCCTTTCCCTTCCCCGCCCCACAACAGACACCCTGTGAGGTAGGTGGGGCTGAGAGAGCTCTTTCCAGAACTGTCCTTGAGAGAACAGCTCTGACAGAACTATGGTTTGGCCAAGGTCATCCAGCCAGGTGCGAGTGGAGGAGTGGGGAATCCAACCCGGTTCTCCCAGATTAGAGTCCGCGCACGTAACCACCACACCAAACTGGCTATGCCGAGGATCAAGGGACCTCCATGGGAGAAAAAGCTATGTGGGGAATGGTACAATAGTAAGGAGGAGAACTGGGTGAGTGGAAAAAACTGCCCGGATCTAACCCTGTCTTGGTTTTGATTAGCAAAACTATATGAGAATGGAATGTGAAATAGCGCTAAGTACATCTGTGAGTTGCCATTGAAAGCCACAGGGGAGACCCACTCACAAATCTTCTGGTTTTTTTTAAATCCTAGCTGCCATGTTTAATGGCCACTGGTGGCTCCTCCTCCTTGCCCCATCCTTGCCTGTGCCTTGTAGAATGGGGGAAGGGCTGCTAGGGAGTTTGTGGCCCTCTGCAACCTGTTCTCTCCCCTTTGCTTCCTCAGAGCGATGCCTGGAAGACCACGAGTCTGTGGTGGAAGTCCAGGCCACGTGGCCCGTTGGGGGCGACAGCAGGTTTGTCTTTCGGAAGAACTACGCCAAGTACGAGCTGTTCAAGAGCTCGCCGGTGAGTGGGATGGATGGACCATAGCACCAGAAGGAGAAAGCGTCTCTTTCCCCTAGTTTGATACGGAAGCTGTCTGATTCTTCCCTCCTAAATATTTCTGCAAGGAGAAGATTAGTTTATGGGCAATGGAGTCTCATTCCCTACCAAGCTTGATTTAGGTGGTATATTAAACCGGTTTGGATCAAGTTCTTGGATTTCTCATGCTTCTGTGTTACCAAAGTTTTGTCTCCAGAGCTTTACAGCAAGCTTTTTCACTCCTTACAGTTTGTGGGATTTTATTTTATTCACTTCATTTATTTATTTATTTTATTCACTTTATCTATCATCCACCTTTCTCACTGAGAGTCAAGGGGGATTACACATTTTTAAAGGTGACATAGTAAGAAAGTGATGGGGGCAGTGATGTATTCTTGGTGCTCGGGTGGCAACAGTGGGAGGGCTTCTGGAGTTTTGACCCCACTGGTGGACCTCCTGGTGGCACCTGGGTTTTGGCCACTGTGGGACACAGAGTGTTGGACTGGATGGGCCATTGGCCCGATCCAACATGGCTCCTCTGATATTCTTATGCTCTGCATTCTTGGTGCTTGGGGCAGGCAACAATGGGAGGGCTTCTGGAGTTTTGACCCCACTGGTGGACCTCCTGGTGGCACCTGGGTTTTGGCCACTGTATGATACAGAGTGTTGGATTGGGTGGGCCATTGGCCTCATCCAACATAGCTTGTCTTATGTTGTTATGTTCTAATGGTATAATACATACAAGTAACAATGCAGTAAGAAAGTTAAGACTCAAGTGGTTAAGATGCTGAACTGCAGGCTGTGGAAGGTCAGTAGTTCAGCAGTTCGAGACCCGAGTGCCGCATGATGGAGTGAGCTTCCGTCTCTAGTTCCAACTCCTGCCAACCTAGCAGTTCAAAAGCAAGAAATTGCAAGTAGATAAATAGTACCACTCCAGTGGGAAGGTAACAATGTTCCGTGCACCTTGGTGTTTAGTCATGCCGGCCACATGACCCCGGAAACGTCTTCGGACAGTGCTGGCTCTTTGGCTTTGAAATGGAGATGAGCACCACAACCCTAGAGTTGGATTCAACTGGCTTTCGAGCAAGGGAACCTTTACCTTTTAAAGAAAGTTTAGAATTCTTTAATAGTAATTAACAGTGCCCCTTCTAAGCATCAGCTTCAGTGGAGTTAGAAGATTGTAACTTTGCTTATTCCCTTCGTCAAATTCCCTCCTGAAAATTCAGTTTTACATATTCTGCATGGGACCCTCGGTGACCTCGTTGGGCAGGCCGTTCCACCAAGTCGGAGCATCAACAGAAAATGCTCAGGGCAGCTGTTGATCTGACCCTTTAAGATCTTATACTTTCAGAGTGTGGGTGTTAAGTTGCTCGCTTAACAAAGCAGTTGGAGAGTGATTCAGCAAGAAAATAACTTGATTCTTCAACTCGAACACAATTCCAATACGGATGAACATGAATAGCCAGAACAGCTTTTACATTACAGCTGTCCTGCTTTTAAACATTCCCGGCTAATGTAGCCACACCCACTGTACAAATACCAACCAATACGGTTGTTCATATAAGGACCAATCATGGACCAATCAGGGAGCTTGCTGTAAGGTGATCGGCTAGGTGCTTCCTAGGCTAGTAATGTGATTGGATGGATTTGGATCCTAGCCCAGGACGAAGCTCAACATGGCAAGTCAATTAGATGTTTCACATACATCATGCATTCAATGGCAGCTATTGAATACATTACAGTGGGGCTCTATGATGGATTTGTATCTGTCTTGTACAGAGCATTTTTAGTGTTATTAGCCATGTGGAATGGGATCAGATTTTATAGCAGGGGAAAACAGACCTTGGAGCCTGCTCTTGTTTGTTGTGGTTTGGGCCGCCAGACTCACCTCTTTCCTTCTTCCCTGACTGCAGCAGTCGCTGTTCCCTGAAGTCATGGTCTCCAGCTGCCTGGACGCAGCCAACAAGGGCATGTCCCATTCAGAACTCATCCAGGTAAATCATCTCCTATTCTTCTTCTGGCCTTTCAACCCTTTATAGGTGTCCTTCCCCCTTGCACCGCACATGTGCAGAATTTTTCTAGGAAAGAGTAAAGAAAGTGAGTCTGTTTCACTTAGAAACAAAGACAGTAAAAAGGAAAGCAAGAAGGCCCTGCACTTAAGGGGAATGTCCACATGATGTCAAGCATCACTATTTACATGCCCGAAGACAGATGTCTGCCTCCCCCCTCCCCATATGCTGGTTTCATGAACTAAAATCTCCCCAGGGGGAATTATTTACCCTTTGTGGGACAGCATGTGTACTGAACACCTCACATGCACCCCTGCAACAGGACAGCAAGTGCCACCCCAATGCTAAAAAGTCACAACTGGTTTGACTGGTTTGACACGTGTATTGCTCCCTCTAGTGGTTGATTCCATATTACACCGGCGTATGTCCAGCATATCTCCCTGCGGATTTAAACTGCAGGTTTTTCTGATGGACACAAAGTGATAGAATATTGAATTGACCACTAGAGGGAGCAAAACACATACAGAAAAGACAAAAACACCAAAGCAACAGGTACACACAGGCGGCAAAAATGAGAATGCAGAAGAGCCCTGAGTCCGGGGTTACTCGGGTTGGAGTGCTCCTGAGCCATTTTGATGGCCCAATCCACCATCTGCAGTTAACGTTCCTCCTGTTGCAGCTGTTTTCGGATGTTTTGATTTCATGCAGATCCTGAGCAGTGCAGTTCCTTGTAGAGTCAACACCCCTCTAAGTCAGTCGAAGTCAGTGGGCTTAGAAGGGTGTAACTCTACAGAGGATTGCATGGGTTGTTCTATGTTTTGATTTCCTCGTGCTATGTTTGCAAGTGTTTCTAATGTATTGTTGGCTCTGGGTGCTATCTACGTCGTGGAAAAACAAGACGGCCATGCTGTCAGCAATCGAGATGGTGCTACGAATGGAACTATCCATGCTTTCTCTCTCTCCCTGGCTCCCTCATTCAGAACGTACTCAATTCGGGAAGCTGCCCTGAAATCCAAGGGTTCCTGAACATGAAGGAAGTTGGACGCAAAATGTGGAAAAGATTTTACTTCTCCCTGCGGCGCTCCGGGCTCTATTACTCAACAAAAGGGACGTCAAAAGTAAGGGGATTTACTGGGGAGGTGTTTTTCTTTCCTGCGAGCCCAGCTTGTATTTCCTTCTTCCTTCTGGCCGCAATTCTCTCTGTCATCTTACTACATTTATCTCCAGTTTTGACATATTTATTACCTTGCTGTCCTTTCCCCCCCTTAATTAAATCAAAACAACTGTTCACCTTATAACCTTAGCTTGTTGCTTAGTTTCACTTTGAATATCTTAAAGCATCTGCATCACGTTACATGTTAATCTGCTGTGTATTTGACAAAGTGGGCAAGCACACGAAAGCCCATACCTTGAATAAACCTTCGTTCAGGGGTCATTTCGTAGAAAAAGAGGTGCAGGAGCTCATTAGCATAACTTATTTGCATATGCCACACTCCCTGACATCACCGGAAGTGTGTTAGAAGGCAACGCCCACCGCTCAGGCTCCACTGGACTGTTTTGGATTGCTAGCTATGGGCGGGAGGGAACACGCAGATCTGTCCTCGCAGAGGAGGGAGAGCTTGTACCTGAATAAAACTTGGTCTTAAAGGTGCCACTGGACTGTTTTGGATTGCTAGCTATGGGCGGGAGGGAACACGCAGATCTGTCCTCGCAGAGGAGGGAGAGCTTGTACCTGAATAAAACTTGGTCTTAAAGGTGCCACTGGACTGTTTTGGATTGCTAGCTATGGGCGGGAGGGAACACGCAGATCTGTCCTCGCAGAGGAGGGAGAGCTTGTACCTGAATAAAACTTGGTCTTAAAGGTGCCACTGGACTGTTTTGGACCAGAGGGCCGGGGGGAGCGCTGCAACTTACCTGGCTGCTTCTTGCTCTGACTGAGGGCTGCGGGGAGCAGGGGGTGGGGCTTGTTGCATGTGCCCGCCCCCTGGGCTCTTTACTGCCGGAGCTCTGCTCCTGTGCGCTCCTGCAGGAAATGACCCCTGCCTTTGTTGATCTTAAAGGGCCTCTCCCTGCTGTTCTGGGCAACATTCGCGTGATACCATCCTCTGTCTGCTCTGCTTCTGTGCCCCCGCCCCTTTGCTTCAATCTTTTCCATACCTGGATCGGTACAGTCTTTTTGGAGAGATGGTAGTGAAATCCTCTTTGGATGCTGTGTGGGTTGGAGCATGCACATTTTGTAGATCACGTCCACATCGGTGCCAATTTTTTTTTAACTTCAATCCCAACAGCTGCTGTTTCCTCTCTCACTGGGTGGCTTTATCCAGGCTTTTTAAGTAATTGGTAATAAGCTAGCATTATAGTATTATAAAGATCTATTGCAACAATGTATCAGTTCCCAGCTTTCATTTTTTCTTTTAAAAAGGAAGGCTCTAGGCCAAATTTTTGTGGAGGTATAAAGGGAAAGGCACGGTCTGCACATTTTTCCTTATAACTTCATATGAAAATGGCTGGAGGTTTTTTAAAAGGAAAGCTGTGAATTTGGAGGAACTGATAGCTCATTATAACAATTATTCTTATTTTTTAAAAGTCCTCTGCTGGCGAGAGGGAATTGTCCTGGGCACAGCTGTCCTTGAAAAAGGAGCAGTTTCTGTCAAGAGCTCTCTCAGCCCCACCCACCTCACAGGGTGTCTGTTGTGGGGAGGGGGAGGGAAAGGAGTTTGTAAGCCGCTCTGAGACTCCAAGTGAAGGGCGGGTATAAATCCAATCTCTTCTTCTTCTTCTTCTTTTTTGTAGAAGAAGCCCAGCAGTAACTCATTAGCATAATAAGGCATACCCAACAGCAGAAACTCATTAGCATATTAGGCCACACACCTGATAGTACAGCTCATTAGCATATTAGGCCATACCCCCATGTTACCAGAAGTGTGGTCATCCAGCCACACCCACCTTTTGCTTCTTATTCTGTTTACCTTGTTTGTTGTCAAAACCCAGGGATTTTTTTGTAGCAGGAACTCCTTTGCATGTTAGGCCACACACCCCTGATGTAGCCAATTCCAATGAGTTTCTACTGTTGGGTGTGGCCTGTTATGCTAATGAGTTCCTGCTGGGCGTGGCCAACTCAGGAGCCAGCCGGAACTCCATGGGGGTTCCTGCCAAAAAATAGCCCTGGGGGGGGGGGGGGGACAAGGAAAATGCTTCCAACGTGACTGGGAGCTGTCAAAATGCACAGCTTCCTGTCCACATGGCATGCAAGGAGCTTTGACTCTGATCTTTCGCAAAAGATCTTACCAAACCAGATTTGAGAAAGACTGCAGCAAAGAAGATGGGACTTGCCAGTGGGACTTAGGGTTTTTTTTTAAAAAAAAATGGAAGTTGGGAATTCAGTGGAGATAGTAGATAGTAGGCGGATAAACATATGGAGCAGAGGTCCATCAGTGGCTATTAGGTATAGATAGGAACTCACAGGCTGGGGCAAGGGATGCTCTGTATTCTTGGTGCTTGGGGGGGACACAGTGGGAGGGCTTCTAGTGTCCTGGCCCCACTGGTGGACCTCCTGATGGCACCTGGTATTTTTGGCCACTGTGTGACAGTGTTGGACTGGATGGGCCATTGGCCTGATCCAACCTTGGCTTCTCTTATGTTCTTATGCAGATCATTATAATGCTGTAACACTATAGGGATATGTCACTCGCCATGGTTTAAAAAAAAATATCTCCATTGGCGGGGAGCAAAGTGGGGAGCAGGAATCGTAGGAAAACAGAAAGCCCATTTCCGTCGGGACGATGAAGATGGGGTAGAACTGCATGCCGTGGAGCACAGCCTCACCTGTTGCCTCCTTTCATCTTTCCCCTGCCAGGACCCTCGGCATCTGCAGTACTGCGTTGATGTGAATGAATCCAACATCTACTACATCACCCAGGGCAAAAAGCAGTACAGCCCACCCACTGAGTATGGCTTCTGCATCAAGGTAAGGAGGGAGGGGAGCGCTGCCCAGTGGGACCCACCCTCCACTGTGCTTCAGGCATCCCTGGTTAAAGCAGCCAGCCAGAGGGGATTAGGCAGAAACCAAAATCAAGCCTTCTGCATTCCCATTTTCGTCGCTTGTATATCCCTGTTGCTTCGGGGGGGGGGGGGTGTTACACATGAGTTTTGCTCCCCCTAGTGATCAATTTGATATTACATCAGTGTATATCTATATACCAGTGGTGGCGAACCTATGACACGGGTGCCAGAGGTGGCACTCAGAACCCTCTCTGTGGGCACGTGTACCATCGCCCCAGCCAGGCCCAGACCATCATAAAACTGTCGAATTCTCTGCCAAATAATTTTAAGTCAATGAAAGCATTTGGGATTGCTTTCCTTACTTTGTTTGGATCATCTTATGTTAATGTGTGAGTTGTTTTTTCTAAAGTAAAACCTCAGTATTCAGGTTAAATTGCAGTGTTGGCACTTTGCGATAAATAAGTGGGTTTTGGGCTGCAATTTGGGCACTCGGTCTCTAAAAGGTTCGCCATCACTGCTATATACTAATAGCCAAGGCGCCCCCTGCGTGCGGAGATCTAAATCCGCACATTGGAGGCACCTAGGGAGCAAAGAGGTTTTCCTGCACATTTGGGGCAGTCCCCAGATGGGCAGAAAAACCTGAAATCTATAAAAAAAAACTATAGGGGGGGATACTTAAATTCCCTCAAAAGTAAGTGTGTTCCTTGCGCATGCGCTGAGAACACTCTGAGAACTGCCTTGCTGCCGCCGCCACTGGAGGGTGCGGGAAAAGGCTTGGTGGGCCGGCCACTCAGGCCTCGCCGCCGCTGCCGCAGAGCAAGAGAGACAAAGCTTGGCGGGCCGACGGCTGGGAGCCGCGCAGGCCTCACCATTGGTGCTGTGGGGGGCGGGGGAGAAGGCTTGGCAGGCCCGGTGGGAGCCGCACAGGACTCGCCATTGGTGTGTGTGTGTGGGGAGAAGGCTTGGTGGACCCGGAGGGAGCCATGCAGACCTCGCCATTGGTGCTGGGGGGGCGAGGGAGAAGGCTTAGCGGGCCCAGTGGCTGGAAGCTGTGCGGGCCTTGCCGTTGGTGCTGGGGGGGAGAAGGCTTGGCGGACCTGTCAGGAGCCGCATGGGCCTTGCCATTGGTGCCGGGGGGGGGGACTTACCTGCGGCTGCTTCCTCCTCCTCCGCATGGAGATCCTCCCCACCGCGAGTATTGCAGGTCCCCCTTCTTGTCTGGCATATTCCCCTGCTGCGCTTTAAATTTTACTGCAATGTAATATCAAACATTGTGGTGTCGTGGCTAAGAGTGGTGGACTCTATTCTGGAGAACTGGGTTTGATTCCACATGCGGCCAGCTGGGTGACCTTGGGTCAGTCACAGTTCTCTCAGAGCTCTCTCAGTCCCACCTACCTCACAGGGTGTCTCTTGTGGGGAGAGGAAGGGAAAGGTGATTGTAAGCTGCCCTGAGACTGCTTCAGGTAGTGAAAAGCAGAGTATGAAAACCAAGTGTTCTTCTTCATCTTCAAAACACATGCAGACCAGAAAAAACAAATAAAGCATTAGGGACACACAATGAGAATGCAGAAGAGCCCTGAGTCTTTCAAGACAATTAAAGGGGGGAGAGGTGAGTCCTAAGTGTGGTACCTGAACCCCAAATTAAAAATCTAGGCAGTGCACCAAATGTTGGCCATTGTTTTGATGGATAGCTGCTCCCCGCTCAATTTAAAATTGGAAGCAGGTTTCACTGTTACGCTTTCTTCCTGGGAAGGATTCTGATCTGATTGATTGAGGGAGGCTTTTCTGTGAACCAGACCTTAGCCCTCAAACGTTGGCAATGAGGGTTTAAAAACCGTGCCTCTGTACATGGGCAATGTGCTGGCGTTTTTCAGAAATGAGGGGAGAGGCAATATTGTACTGTTGTTATGTGTGAGTCCTTCTTGACTTCGTCTCTTTGTTCCACAGCCTTTCAAAGCACGCAGCGGGGTCAAAGGACTCAAGCTCTTCTGCAGTGAAGATGAGCAAAGCCGCACCTGTTGGATGGCTGCCTTCCGCCTCTTCAAGGTGCTGGTCTACTAAATCCCCCCCTTACCCTTCTGCTGTTTTATTCTTGTCTCACCTTGAGCTCTCTGTTTGGGAACAGGCAGGGGTTTTTTTGTAGAAAAAGCCCAGCAGGAACTCATTAGCATAATAAGCCACACCCAACAGCAGAAACTCATTAGCATATTAAGCCACACCCCTGGCAGCACCACTCATTAGCATATTAGACCACACCCTCATGTTACCAGAACTGTGGTCATCCAGCCTCAGCCACCTTTTGCTTCTTATTCTGTTTACTTTGTTGTCAAAACTCTGGGCTTTTTTTGTAGCAGGAACTTCTTTGCATGTTAGGCCACGCACCCCTAATGTAGCCAATTCCGATGAGTTTCTGCTGTTGGGTGTGGCCTGTTATGCTAATGAGCTCCTGCTGGGCGTGGCCAACTCAGGAGCCAGCTGGAACTCCATTCCTGTGCATTCCGTTCCTGCCCAAAAATAGCCCTGGGAACAGGGAAGGAAGGGTGACACTCGAACGTTTTCCTCAGGGACGGCTCTCCGCGTGCCTGCATTTGTATACCTCCAGGCAATGCTCCCTCTAAGCTGTGGAGTCTTGTGAGCAAAAATTCTACTTTGTGAGCTGCCGGCATTAAAGTTGTGAGCGAGCGATTTGGCTGCTGCAGAAATGAGTTTGCTCTGGAGCCCCATCCCTCCCGAGCGGAGGCGAAAATGTGTGCGCCGGGGGCTAAAAAAACTGTGAGCTAGCTCACACTCACTCAGCTTAGAGGGAACACTGCCTCCGGGGCTTCCCCCCCATTTCCACAAATGTCTTTGCAGCTTCAGGAACAGAAGCGAAGTTTGTCCCCTTTTGCCTCCCAGCATCAGACTTCCGTGTTTCCGGGGGATTCCAAGCTGCGCCACAAGAGGGGGCAAACGTCATTTTTGCTCCTGAAACTGCAAAAACATTTGTGGAAATGGGGGGGGGGGAGACCGGGGTCATTTCCTAGAAAAAGAGGTGCAGGCGCTCATTTGCATAACTCATTTGCATGTGCCACACCCCCTGACAATGGGCAGGCATGTTTATGTATCCAAATGGTGTTAAACCCCCCCCCCCCCGAGTCTCTCTGCAAAAGCGGAGGGGCTCCGGGGGGGAAGGCGGGCATGTCTGCCTCCCTGCCCTCCCCTTCTCCAGCCAGCCTGCCGCGGCGGGTTGGCTGGAGATGGGGAGGGCAGGGAGGCAGTCATGCCTGGGTTCCCTGCCCTGCGGGGCACCCGGAAAAGATTGGGCAGGGAACCAAGGCATTTAAATCCCCCCCTCCCTGAGTGGCTCCATGGGCGGGGGGCAGGGCCGGGCTCCTTCCTGCCGGAGTGCCGCTCGGGGGCGCTCTGGCAGGAAATGACCCCTGCCCGGAGGTATACAATGCAGGCGCGCAGAGAGCTGTCCCTGCGGAAAACATCCCAGTCCTACCTGACAAGGAAATCCTAAAGAAAGTCATTGCCTTCCCAGTCAAAGTCAGTGGGTTTAGAGGGGTGTAGTTTTGCCATGATCGCATTGCAAAACACTCACCAGACAAGTTGCTCTAGACGTCCTCCTTTACCAGAAGTTCCCCTAGCAATCTCCTGCCATAGACACCATATGTGTCTGCACCAGGGGGCATTTCGTAGAAAAAGAGGTGCAGGCGCTCATTAGCATAATTCATTAGCATAACTTATTTGCGTATCCCACACTCCCTGACATCACCGGAAGTGTGTCAGAAGGCAACACCCACCGCTCAGGCTCCGCTGGACTGTTTTGGATTCCTAGCTGGGGCGGGGGGTTGTGCAGATCTGTCCTCGCAGAGAGCTTGTACCTGAATAAAACTGGGTCTTAAAGGTGCCACTGGACTGTTTTGGACCGGGGGGAGCTCTGCAACGTACCTGGCTGCTTCTTGCTCTGACTGAGGGCTGCTGGGAGCAGGGGGTGGGGCTTGCCTGGGCTCTTTACTGCCGGAGCTCCGCTCCTGTGCGCTCCTGCAGGAAATGACCCCTGGTCTGCACTGTTTCAGGCCTCTGGATCTTTAAAAGAAGAGTTAGCGGTAATAGTTTTTATAAAGGCACGGGTGCTTTTTGGGAAGCAAGATCCTACAAGGACGGAAAGCCTAAGTGTGAACTACATGTCCTTATATATATACACTTGGCAGTTGAATGACAGTGAGGAGACACACGGTGGGATCTAGTCAGCTAGAGAGCCAGTTTGGTGTAGTGTTTAGGAGCACAGACTCTAATCTGAGAGAACCGGGTTTGTTTCCCCACTCCTCCACATGCAGCTGCTGGTGTGACCTTGGGTCAGTCCCAGTTCTCTCAGAGCTGTTCTCTCAAGGGCAGTCCTCAAGAGAGCTCTCTCAGCCCCACCTGCCTCACATGGTGTCTGTTGTGGGGAGGGGAAGGGAAAGGAGTCTGTAAGCCGCTCTGAGACTCCGAGTGAAGGGTGGGGTATAAATCCAATCTCTTATTATTGTTATTATTCATGTATGCTGTACTTAGCATTGTGAGGTAGGGTGGAGTGGAAGCAGTTATATCAGTAAGCAGAGTTCCCAGCGAGATCAGAAACTCACAGAGGAATAAAAACCAACATGACCCACTCTGGAGAGCTCAACTATGGTAGTACCACTTCCCTGTTGCACCAAAATCTGTCACTACAGTTTGGTGTAGTGCTTAAGTGCGTGGACTCTAATCTGGGAGAACCGGGTTTGATTCCCCACTCCTCCACTTGCACCTGGCTGGATGACCTTGGGCAAGCCATAACTCTGGCACAGCTGTTCTTGAAAAAGAGCAGTTTCTATCAAGAGTTCTCTCAGCCCCACCTCCCTCACAGGGTGTCTGTTGTGGGGAGGGGGAAGGGAAAGGAGTTTGTAAGCCGCTCTGAGACACCTTTGGGTAGTGAAGGGCGGGGTATAAATCCAATCTCTTCTTCTCTTCTTCTTCTTCTTCTCATTTTGTCTTCCTGAGAAACAAGCCTGCAAAGTGTCTTAGGTTAAGCAAGAGCAAGACCGATTCCTAGTTAATGCCCCCACTCCACAAGCTTTCTGGTGGAGCCAGAATCTGAACCTTTCTTGTATCCGTAGCCAAACCCAGCGTCCCTTTTCACAACACTGGTAGAACCCCAAAGGGATTCCAGCCATTTCCAGAAGAGGCTGGTGTTCCTCAGAAGCCTAGCAGAGATTCCTCAGATCAGTAAAGTCAGATAAAATCCTGTGAAAGTCAGCTTCCCTGCTGCTATCAGTCTCTCCGCCTACAAAGCATTGAGCACCCGTTTCCTACACATGCACGATTCATATTTCTAGATCTCCGGCCTTAAGGAATTTTTTTAACGATCTTGGGGGGGAAATGCAGACTTTTTTACAGCTACATTCAGACATCTAATTCTCAACTCCTGCAAATAACAGGAACACAAGCTCGGGACCACCGTCTGGAATATTAAACATTCTAGGCCAGTTTGCTTGCCCTACAGATGCCAACTAAGATTGTTCTTTCCACAGTACGGCATACAGCTCTACCGGAACTACCAGCAGTGTCAAGCACGGCAAAGGGAACCAGCCTGGATTGGCGGCATGCCCCTGGTAAGCTTTCCGCAGGATAACGTTTTAACGATCGTCATGACCTGACGGTGAAGGCAAATATAATGAAGTGCGGGCGGTTTGGAAGCATCGTGACTGCAGCCCATCCAGATGTGACTTGGACCCGCTCTGAAGAAACTCATATCTACAGTGGTTCATTTTGAACGGTGGAAAGCACTCTGTGGATAGGACTGATAGGCTAGTGCCCGTAACGCCACCATACACCTTGTCTCAACCTTCACAATCCCTGGATGCTTTTGCACCTGTTTTTAAAGATGTCGTTAAGGTACAGCCATCTGAAAGGCTTGCTGCTTGGGAGACGGGCTTCTTGGCCGTGGGCCTGAAGGCTGTAAGAACCGCTTCCGTCAGAAATGCCTTTCTTGAAGCTGGGCCTGAAATTTCAGTACTGAAGATGACTTTATGTCTTGCTCTCCTCTGTGACCTCTTAAGAGCGTACAAAATCTGTCCGTAGTGCCGTCCCTTTGCTGAGGAATGGTCAGGAAAACCATGCAGAGAAAGGGCTGCCCCACAACTCTGGGATCCTGTGCCCTAGAGATTTCAGCAAAGCCTTAGCCGGAAATCCTTCAGAAGGATTTGCACTGGAAGTAGACATGGTAACGGGGTTCAAAATCCTTCTGTTTTATGTGTTTTAAAAATCCATTTTTCCTGGGCCAACAAATGAAGGGGGTTGCAGTATGACATAAACCAACACAATAGAACTACTGCAAATAGTGCAAATCATGCAAATTCTAATTTGTATTAATGCAACAATATTGAATCCAATCCATTGTACACTTATGTTTTACAGAAAATAAGGACGTCACAAGATGAACTGAAGACGTCAGCAGATGAAACTGGACGAACTCCCCCGGAGTTAACATTCGTTTCAAGGTGTCTTTTTCATACATAAGACCTCAGCTGTGCATCCACATGATCACAAATCTTCCAAATTGGACTTTCCTTTGTTCCTATACGTTTTGAAGGTACTCACAAACAGCTCTTAGCCATAATATCAAAACCGGGCTGCTGAGTAACTTCAAAACGTATAGGAACAAAGGAAAGTCCAATTTGGAAGATTCGTTTTCATGTGGATGCACAGCTGAGGTCTTATGTATGAAAAAGACACCTTGAAACGAATGTTAACTCCGGGGGAGTTCGTCCAGTTTCATCTGCTGACGTCTTCATTTCATCTTGTGACGTCCTTATTTTCTGTAAAACATAAGTGTACAATGGATTGGATTCAATATTGTTGTATTAATACAAATTAGAATTTGCATGATTTGCACTATTTGCAGTAGTTCTACTGTGTTGATTTTTCCTGGGTCCTGCATTAAACTCTTATCATTATCTGTTCCCGAGAAAACAGGTCTTATATCAATAAAACATTTTGGGAAACAGATTTGGAATTTACGTACTGCTATTAGGGACCAGGACCTGTTATTATTGAAGAGAATCTGTTGCTGAATCCTTTTTCAAAATAACCCTGTAGCGGAGCGTGTCTGATAACACCCTGGTGGCCATGGACTTCTCGGGCTGCATGGGTCGCGTGATCGAAAACCCCAACGAGGCCTTGACGGTCGCTCTGGAGGAGGCGCAGGCCTGGAGGGTGAGTCTGCTGTTGGGCACCCAGCCAGAGATTGTGGAGGTGGGGGGACTGCGCATCACTTTGGTTCTCCCAGTGTCTGTGTTGCTGACCCTTACATAAGAACATAAGAGACGCCAATGTTGGATCAGGCCAAAGGCCCATCCAGTCCAACACTCTGTATCACACGGTGGCCAGAAATACCAGGTGCCATCAGGAGGTCCACCAGTGGGGCCAGGACATTAGAAGCCCTCCCACTGTTGACCCCCCCCCCAAGCACCAAGAAGACAGAGCATCCCTTGCCCCAGAGCCCCTATCTATACCTTGTAACCAGTGTTCCCTCTAAGCTGAGTTAGTGTGAGCTAGCTCACAGTTTTTTAGCCTTCGGCTCACACATTTTTGTCTTAGCTCAGGAAGGATGGCTCCAGAGCAAACTAATTTATGCAGTAGCCAAATTGCTCGCCCACAATTTTAATGCCAGTAGCTCACAAAGTAGAATTTTCGCTCACAAGTCTCCACAGCTTAGAGGGAACATTGCTTGTGGCTAATAGCCACCGATGGACCTCTGCTCCATATGCTTATCTAATTCCCTCTTGAAGCCGTCCATGCTTGTAGCCGCCACTTCCTCCTGTGGCAGAGAATTCCAAGTGTTAATCACTCTTTGAGTGAAGAAGGACTTCCTTTTATCCGTTCTAACCCGACCGCTCAGCAATTTCATGGAGTGCCCACGAGTTCTTGTATTGTGAGAAAGGGAGAAAAGTACCTCTTTCTCTACCTGCTCTTTCCCATGCATAATCTTGTAAACCTCGATCATGTCACCCCTCAGTCGTCGATCCCGAGCCGTAAGTGGGCATTTTCCAGCCAGAAAACGACCCATGACCAATGCTCCCTCTCAGCTGTGGACTCTTGATAGCAAAAAATCCTACTTTGTGCGCTTCTGGCATTCAAGTTGTGAGCGAGGGATTTGGCTGATGCATCAACTACTGTGCTCTGGAGCGATCTTTCCTGAGCGAAGACAAAAATGTGCAAGCTGGAGGCTAGAAATCTGTGAGCTAGCTCACACGAACTCAGCTGAGAGGGAACGCTGCCCATGACCTGACCCATGAGTTACAACGATGTGGGGAGCTAGGTGGAGACATAGTAGGGTCTCAGGAGTTGGGGTTTTCGATCAACCTGGTGACTGCTTTCCCATACATTACAAAGAGTTCCCGACTGAAGACGATGCTTTTGCCTCGGGCCTAGTGGCCTGTGGCTTTCCTCCTCCCTAGGGACTCTAAAAGTAGGGGCTGCGGTGGCTCAGAGGTGAAGGCGCTGAGCTGCAGACCAGAAGATCGGTAGCTCGGCAGTTCAAGACCCAAGTGCCACGTGACGGAGTGCTCTCCCGTCTCTGGCCCCAGCTCCTGCCAACCTAGCAGTTTGAAAGCAAGAAATTGCAGGTAGATAAATAGGTATCACTTCAGTAGGTTTCGTGCACGTTCCGTGCACCTCGGCGTTTAGTCATGCCGCCCACATGGCCACGGAAACGTCTTCGGACAGCGCTGGCTCTTCGGCTTGGAAACGGAGATGAGCACCTCAACCCTAGAGTCAAATTCGACTGGCTTTTGAGCAAGGGAAATCTTTACCTTTACCTTTAGGGACTCTAAATGGGCCCCAAATGGACACCGTCATTACTGTGTTTCCACAGTCTCACCCCTTGGTGTATCGGAAGCAGCACTGGACTTGCCACGAGGCCATTTCCTTGCCTGTCCGCAGTGAGATTCTTGTTCAGAGAGCCAGTCTGGTGTCGTGGTTGAGTGCGAGGACTCTAATCTGGGAGAACCGGGTTTGATTCCCCACTCCTCCACTTGCGCCTGCTGGATGACCTTGGGCAAGCCATAGTTCTGATCGAGCTGTTCTTGAAAAAGAGCAGTTTCTGTCAGAGCCCTCTCAGCCCCACCTGCCTCACAGGGTGTCTGTTGTGGGGAAGGGAAGGGAAAGGAGTTTGTAAGCCACTCTGAGACTCCCTTGGGTAGTGAAGGGCGGGGGATAAATCCAGCCTCCTCCTCCTCCTCCTCCTCCTCCTCCTCCTCCTCAAACCCAGAATGGGCTACTCAGACCATCAGCAGCACTCTGAGGTCTCCGGCTAGGTCATTTCTGTCATAGCTCTCTTAGCCCCACCTGCCTCCCAGGGTGTCTGTTGTGGGGAGGGGAAGGGAAAGGAGTTTGTAAGCTGCTCTGAGACACATTTGGGTAGTGAAGGGCGGGGTATAAATCCAATCTCTTCTTTTTCTACCTCGCAGGGTGTCTGTTATGGGGAGGGGAAGGGAAAGGAGATTGTGAGCCGCTCTGAGACACCTTTGGGTAGTGAAGGGCGGGGCATAAATCCAGTCTCCTCCTCCTCCTCATTTGAAGCCGCCCTCTGATGCTAAACTCTGCTACCTCAGAATAAAGAAATCAGAATAAGAGGCTCTTGAACACCTGAAACTGCCTTATACTGAATGGGGCTCTTGGTGCATCCGAGTCAGTATTGCCTACTCACACTGGCAGCGGGCTCTTTAAGGCTTCAGGCAGAGGTCTTTCCCACCCCCTACTGCCAGATCTTTTAATGGGAAATGCTGTGAAGGATTGAACCTGGGACCTTGTGCATGCCGAGCAGAGGCTCTACCGCTGAGCCACACACAGCCCCTCCACCCTTCTGAAGCGCCTTCCCTTGAAAGTCAGAAACTACCCTGGAAGGCTTCAGGTTGCCTCCTTCAGGGCTGCAGGACTGCGCCCCAGGAACGTTGGATGGGTTGAGTGAAGTGTTCCTTCGCGTGTCCAGTGTCAGCCACAACCCCTGTGAGCAGGGGTACAAAAGAAGAAGATTCCCGACCCACGGAAAATCAGCATGTCGGGAAGGCGGCCGGGCAGCCGCCCTTCTCCCTCATGCACTCATCTCCTCTGTGCGGGAAATGTGTTTGCATGGCAGAGCCTTCGCCTGCATTCTGGAGTGGTACACCCAGGCCCAGGTCTACCATCCCAGCCAGAGCTAGGCCCAGCCTAATGGAGACCTTTGCCTTTCTAGCACATGATTCTTAGGGTTGCCAAGTCGGGGTTGGGAAATACCTGGAGATTTGGAGGGTGGAGCCAGGGAAGGGGCGGGACCTCAGTGGGATATAACGTCTTAGGTTCCACCCTCCGAAGCAGCCTTTTCTCCAGGGGAACTGATTAAGACGCTGAACTGCAGGCTGGAAGGTCGGTAGTTCAGCAGTTCGAGACGCGAGTGCCACATGACGGAGTGAGCTCCCATCTCTAGTTCCAGCTCCTGCCAACCTAGCAGTTCGAAAGCAAGAAATTGCAAGTAGATAAATAGGTACCACTTCAGTGGGAAGGTAACAGCGTTCTGTGCACCTTGGCGTTTAGTCATGCCGGCCACATGACCACGGAAACGTCTTCGGACAGCGCTGGCTTTTCGGCTTGGAAACGGAGATGAGCACCGCAACCCTAGAGTCGGATTCGACTGGCCTTCGAGCAAGGGAACCCTTCACCTTTAGTAATTGTTTTTAGTGTACATTTGCCGACCTATAGTAGTTTTTTATTCGCAGTTTGTGCCATTATGGGAAAATCTGGAACATTCTCTTGTGTGGTTTTTTGATAGCATTCACATATGTTGTTGGTACAAACTCTGGCCTAGACAGCGGTGTCTTGTGGCACCTTAATGACATAAAGGCTGATTGTAATTGAAGCTTTTGTGGATATGGAACCCATTCCTGCAGGGACACCTGACAACGATGCTCCGCCGTACAAAAGTTTCTGCCGCACAATGAGACTGTTAGTCTTGGTCCACAGAAAAGGCAAGCACTGCTGTCTCCTTGGAATTTCCACATGTAAACTCATTGCTGCCCCTTCTGATATTTTTCTTTGTTTACCACAGAAGAAGACAAATCACCGATACAGCTTGCCCACTCCGTTCCAGAGCTCCCCACTCAGTGCTGGTGAGTGTCTGTTATAAGTAACCGGTGCTATGTATAAGGAGGAGTTTCTTAACTTGAAAACGGGACAAAGGGCTCTTCCGCATTCTCATTTTTGTCACTCGCTTCAAGTTTTTTTCCTATTCTGCATGTGCTTGGTTCCCTCTTGGGGTCGATTTGATATTATGCTACTGTCTGTCCGGTGTAAAAACCTGCAGGTTTAAAGTGCAGGAAAATACACCGAACGTTAACACTGGATGTAATATTGAATCCACCAAGAGAGGGAGCAAAACACATGTGGGAAAGAAGAAGGAAAAACCTGCAATAGGGATACATGCGCAAAGAAAACGAGAAAACAGAAGACCCCAGAATGTCCAGCGAACTGTTGATGGCAGCAGAGATGGGGGAGGCCAGTCTGCCCAAGGATGGAATGAATACTGCCTGACCTGGGTCTGAGTCCCTCCAGTTCTCTTCCCGCCATCAGTTCCAGAAGCCGTCCTGAAGGACTTATTTGAAGTCAGGTTTAGAGATGTAAAATTTCCAGAAATTTTGAAGCTCAGGAAAAAAACCGTTTTTTCCCCCAGTTTTCCCCCGAAAAAAATGGAAATTTTCGGAAAAATTGAAAAAAATGCTACATTAGCATTTCTTTTGTCTTTTCTAGGTTGAAAGTCATTCTGTTACTTTAAGAACATAAAATAGGACTATGGACATTTTTACTCGGCATGAAATTATCACAACTAGCATATTAAAAATATAGTGTATCCAAACAATTATGACAAACAGAATACCCACCCACATGCAAAAAAACAAAACTGAAACCTTTTTCTTTTCTTGTGACAATCGCACCTCCTAAAGGAAGACATGCACCTTGTTCTTGCAATGGAGAGTTCAGTTTGTAACCTAGGACTTGCTTGTCCTCAGTGCACGGAAATTAGATCAATCTGATACCATCCTTATACTAATAGCCAAGTTGCCCCCGTGAGTGCGGATATCTAAATCTGCGCTCCGGGGGCAGCTGGGGGGCAGGGAGAGGTTGCGCTCCGGGGGCAGCTGGGGGGCAGGGAGAGGTTTGTGCACACGTGGGGCCGTCCCCACGTGTGCACAAAAATGCTAAAAGTTGAAAAAAATGCGGGGGGATGTTTAAATCCCCCCGAAAGTGCAACGCTCTGCGTCCTACCTGGGTTCCCTGCGCAGGAAAGGAAACGAACGGCCGAAGAGGCCCAGCAGCGGCGGCGGCGAGAGATAGGTGAGGAGGGGGAAGACGGGGAGGGGAAGAGAAACTGCCGAGGGCCCGGCGGATGTAAGCCGCACGGGCCTTGGTTCACGGGGAAAAAAAGAAAAAAAGAGAGAGAGAGAGAGAGTCAGGGGGGGGGGA